ACATGCACAAAGCAAGTTCACTTTTAACATTTTGAAAAAAATCTGGGCATTGGGTATATGATATTCATTATTATAAAAGATATGGTATTTCCCAATAAATGAAAAAACGATGAACGATACTGTTTTTACTGACTTTTCGCTATTTAATGCTAATAGCTTCATAAGAGTATTAAAAATTGTCTCATGTTGAAGGACGGTGATTAGGTTGCTAAATATCTAAGCTCAGATTTTGTAAATTCGGATTTAATAGTACTTTCATCCATTGGGAAAATACAAAAACTTTTATAATAATCAATATCATAAACCCAATACGCAAACTACTAAAGGGGGACTTAAATGGTGGATGGTGACTAGCAGTGAACTCCAGGATAACGCGCACTCCGTCCCATTTGAGACTCGACATCTGGACGTACCTGCATTTCCCAGTGAGTGATGATGTTCCCACCGGGGCTGGAACTCAGTGCCCATAGTTTCAAACACCAAAGCGTTATCCACTAAACCACTTGGGCCACGAGAACCACCTCTTGTCCAATGGGTCATATTAATTATTTAATTCAATTTTACATTTTCCTGTCGATTGACTGGACCGAAGTGTTCGTTCTCAGGTTGACATGCCGGCTTCTTGTGTAGATGCTTCGATGATATCTGGGCATTTAATTAGAATTTAATTTGTGGATGAGACCAACCACTTCAGTCCAATCAATCGACGGGAAAATCTCAAATTCAATTATATTAAAGGGGAATTTGGTCGCGTTTAGCTGCATACAAGTAGAAACACTATATCCATACAAGTATTCTAAATTTTGGTGAAATGGTTAGGATTCCTACCGAAAACTTCTGTTAATTTAACTGGCAATCATAAAATTCACTAGTAGTAATTAATTTATACGGTATTTCACAGACTACCGACTATCAAAAAGTAGATTGCCCACATACCTGATAATTTCTCAAATTGCTACATGTGTTACGATTTGTCTGTTGACATACATCAATTAAATGATTATAATATTACAGAATAATACTATACTTATTTATATATTCTTTAACTGATTCTACACGGAGAATGTATACTGAAATAATTCTGAGGTTTCTAGAAGGAAGAAAATCTGAATGAAGTTGATCTGCACCAGTATTTGATTGTAGTTCAGCTAAACAACCATCTAACCCCTGTAAGTAGGAAAAACTAAAGTATATAACTTCATTCATTCAGGTGGATAGCTATCAGCTCACTGGAAAGTTTAGATTCGATTCCATTTCATTCCACATTCAGCTTGTGCCAGTGAAAAGTTATAGCAATACCATGCTCAAGGTCTTCAAAATGATTTCCAAGTCGGGTGTGAGGATAAATACTCGCCGAAGATATTGGCTAATGGTCGCACTATGTCGTGATCTCACAGAAGTTAGAATTCAGCGACTACTGGATCGGGTCCCATTGGCTTAATGGTGTACGAGCTCGCCTTGTAACCAGAAGGTCCTGTGTGCGAACCCTAGAGGTGGGTGAGTACTGTGAAGAGTCCCAAACTAGAACGAAACAGTTGTCCAGTACTCCCACGTTTTCCAATGGTTCTCTAACCATTGTCAGTTCATGATGAAATCCTGTAACTAATCCATCAAATCCCTACTAACCAAAACTTGAATTTCCACTTTATAATATCAGTAATGGAGTGGAATTAACTTAATGCAAAGTTGAGCACATTATTTTCAAATATGTGTTTCTTTTAGAAATAACTGCTGGAAAAATTATTATTTTACGACTTAAATGCAGCTATAATTAATCGTTGTTTTCACTAGCTTCAAAGAAGTTATTATATTATCTATAATGTTCATGCAGACTGCAGTAACGTCAACGAACATGAATCATTGATAAAAACGAAAGTGAAAACTACAAATTAATTTGTTAATTGGATACAACACACAGTGAAACAGCATTATTTATTGGATTGTGAAGAATTGTGTCCAGTGAATAATCCTCCTTCATTGTATGATACATTGAGTGGATAAATTTGATGATATTAGATGGTTGGAGGCAATCGGGAGGAAGCATTTGACCTAGGTTTCGTGCTAGTTGGCACTCATCAGCAAGGCGTATCTGCAACCTTCAAGGAACCCACGTCCCTCCTGGGATTCGAACCCACATCCCCCAGTGCTGCAGCCACAGACGTTACCACTGAGTTATTCGGGTTCGCGATTGACCTCCTGTAGGACTGTAGTGGGTATTTTGATTGGACACTAGTAACTAGTGTGATGTGTCTAGTCCGTGATGGCGAACTGCCTAGAATTACCACATTACAAACCTGACTGATAGAATTCAGTTTGCGGCGAAGAAAGGACTAGACACATTACACTAGTTCCTACTGTCCAATCAAAAGTAAATAAACTGTTACAGAGTCCAGGTTGTACACATATATGAAGGGTGAAATGAAAACAGTATTGAATAAAATGATAACGTAAAAGACTGTTTGAAGTTAATAAAGTTAACTAAAAGTGCTTCCTTTATCAAAGAACAAATATACTTGCATTAAAAATACGTGTACTTTAGATTTACGCCTGGATTTATGGATCTTTAGCTATTATTATATAAACTTATTGATAATCACAGGTGATATTAACACTTTCCTACTCACGAAAATAAACACAGGTTTCAGCGAATCAGTTAGTATTTTGATATGAAGTTTTCTGTATATAATTTGCTCAAGCTTAGATGGCTAGCATCACACTGAGTTCCATAATAGATAAGATTTTACTTTGATAAATCACACAGTGCTGTAGAGTATATCAAGTCCCTTGATATGGTCTGATATGACGATATGATTATGAGAAATAATTTGTGCTCGAAACGTCATCCGTTAATATTACTCTGCAACATTGTGATTTATCAAAATAAAATCTTATCTATAATGGAGGTATAGTCTACCACAGTGCCCAAGATTTATACTTATACTGAAATGAGTTCTTTCATAATGCACACTTCAAATAGTACCTAGTCTTGCAATTTTCAAGTCGTGATCTGTTCAACAACTTATGATTTCTGTTCAGGATTTTTATCAATTGAAAATTATGAGTTCCTACTTCTATTTAGTTCCTGTCCGACTGTATGTATAGTTCATTTAGTTTCTTTTCGTAACTAAAATTACTTTAAGGTTCTTTCCTATAAATGAACCTCTTGTTTTATAATTTTGTAATCATGACACATTTATCCACTAACTGGATTTCGCCTCTTTAGTAAAAATAGTAGACTGTGTACAGTGCACTGAATAAGGAAGGGAAGAAAACTACTCAGAAAGAAAAAAGGGCAAATCTACATCATACTGAAAATTGGGGCAGGAGAGGTTACGGGTGATAGGGTTCTCTGATCTCACTATGCGAGATCCGTATTCGGGAAGAGATCAACGCAGATGAAATCAATAAAAGATAGTAATGGGAGCCCATTGTTCAGCAGATACGTCGAAGAAAATGGAGATGTATACGACACACACCGAGAAGACTGTCAAGTGACACTACTCTCCAGAAATATGAGATGGAAAAGACTACTGAAACATAGTTATCGTAAATCGGCAGCTTAAAAAGTGAAAGTGAAGATTCTTATTGAGAAATTTAATACACATGTACATACACTTTGATACCAGTGAATAAGTCTACTACCGTTTGAGTCCGATAACGCCGCCAAAAACTTATATGAACAAATGAACTGATTCTATCTTTATTACCCAATTTTGATATGAAAACAGTGAAGATACTGCTAGTAGCCATACCAAAATTTTGAAATGGATTGATATGACTACCACTAATAATAATGCTGAGACTGATTCTATATGGGGGGGGGAGAATAAGTAATTCGTGTGAAGACTGAATACATTTGCTGACTTCTAATCACTCCTGACTCCCAGAAGTTACGCAAATAAAGATAGAAGACACACTGCTCTCCGCCGGTAACAACTGTCAGTTTTTTTATTAAAAAAATTCACTGTCCAAAAATATCATCCACTTCGGAAAGTTAAACAAAATAATAACTTATTGGCTTTGCACAAGAGGTGGCCATAATGTCCAAAGTGGAGTTTGAAACGAAGGGTGAGAGATTGCAGGTACATCTAAATGACAAATGTCAAACAGAACTAAATGCGCATCCTGGATCCCACTGTTACTCAGCATCCACTGCATAATTTTCCAGTTAGCAGTAGAATTGAAGGATTCCATCCCTCTTTATTCTGATGTTAATCCTCAGACATTGTTGAAGCCACAGTAGTAGAAGCCAACATGTCTACTGAAACAGAACATTTTGACTGACTTAAACTAATAAGTAACTAATTCAACCGACTGATTAGGTTAGGTAATCTAGTTGCGTTACAATAAATATTCCTTCACAACTTTTCAGCTCAAATTTTTCCACCCTAGTGAATCTGGCTTTGGCCTCTTTCAGATGGTTTGGGTCTGTTTTAACTGGTTTTAAGATCAGACAAAATCAAGATAAAAAGACATGGATTTCTTCATTTGCACTATTAACTAGAAAAGTATTATTTGCTGTCTTCTAGGAGCTCAAACTTATCATTCGCATTATATATAATGTGCCCATCTTTAGTTCCTGAATAATATTTAAAACAGTCATCATTTACTCTATGTTTACTTTAGCACAAACGAAAAATTAATATTCGCAAAGGTAAGGGTTATCAGAATGAACAACCCTAGAGAATTAAATTTTCACACGAAAGCAGATGTGCATAACAAAGAACATATTTTTCATGAAAACTGTCAGTGAATTTCTCAATACACATATTACTTCGCATTTAATGCGTATGGCGAAATATTACGAGTGCCTTCTCTACAATCTGTCTTCCTCACAAAGTGTAGATTAATAACGCGTGGTGTTATTTACGACGCATAATAATAATCTGTTACCTATACACCTAAAAAAAAGAGATTGTTTATCTTCGCATGGTGGAAGTGTTAAACCAACGTATCGTTTTAAAGCCTTGAAGAATTGAGAATTACTGAAAAAGATCATTGAAATAATGATTCATTTTTGAGGGAATTTTTATTAGTATTACACACAATGACAATGAGTAATCACTGATTTATGATGAAAATGACTGGACATAGGAGAAGCGAGTCAGAATACACCAAGCAAAAAACAAAAAACAAAAACAAAGGTGAAACTCGCAGTTCCACATAATGAATAGCGCGTAAAGTATTATTTCTGTATTATTATAATTTTTTTTGTTTGTGCAAATTTTATCAGTTATCTTTTCAAATGTCTGATAGTTTATTGTCTCTCTCTCTCTCTTTGGATTAATTACAATGATATGGAAATTGGTCAGTGTTTAAGGATTATTATAATTTCTATATAGGGTGATGAAATACAATATTTCTTCTCTGTATTTTTACTATCTGTAAAAAAAACAAAAAAACACACAATAGGAAGAGAATACGCGTTTTGTGTAATACTTTTTTAATCTTAATTATCCGACAGTGTAATATAAGATTAATAATAAAAGAAGTATGTATTCTTCTTAGAACAAATTTTTTAAAAAGGAGGCAATTCCTTTATAAACTGTATCATTGGCAGTACAATATTTTGCTTGTCAATCAACTGCATGTGGTAAAAATAAATTCCTTCGAATGCTTTCCTTGTGAGGTGATTCACATGTGCACATTTTCATCATTCTGTTCATCACTGAGTAAAAAAAATATATAACAAAAAATAAGGTTAGCAAAAATCGAAGAATCTGTGAACTCTGAGAAAGTTTTCCAGTAACAATTCACTAGAGATTACGGTTTCCTTGTGCGGTTAATAATTATTATGGTTAGAGTGGGAACCGAAGTTGGAGTTGACAGCCTGGAGTGTACAATCATTCAATTCTGTGAAAGTATAGACTTCCGTCTTCACCTCCAGTAGTACAGTTATTTACAAAAATTAAGTTTTAATTTTCATAATCAACATTTTCTGGATATATGTAAAAATCGTTGTGTTTGAAACCAACAGGAAGAGTGTCAACCTCTTGATGCTTCGCAGAAGTCTGTTTTCCATTATGGGTAAATTTTGTTTTGATAAAGTCTCACATTGTTATACAGTAATGTTTACTGATGACGTCTCGAGCACAATTTATTACTGCTCATAATCATGTCAAGGTACTCGCTCTACTTTCTAACTTCGTTTATATAATTCCAATGTTTTTCATCGCTTGATTTGATAGGTAGGTAGTAATATTTTCCATATTTCCGGTATGAGTGATGAGTCATTCCTATTGCATGTGTTTTGTTGGGAGTAGATTATTCGACGAACAGGGAATCAGTAATCAATCTCTATCTCCATCTACATAGATTACTTCTTAGAATTTTAACTCTTTCCCACCATGCTATTGTGTGGTTGTGTGTTAATGTATGCAGTGCGATCACAGAGCTTTTTCTATATGTGTAAAACTTAGGCACTGTGGCAGTAAGTTATTCCATATTAGTTTGTTTATTAGATGTATCACACAGTGAAACAGTATTATTTACTGGATGACGTTTCGAATAAAATTTATTGTTCGTAATCATATCAATTAATTGATTACACGCAACAAATATGGAATGAGCTTTTTTCTAAACTTTTTATCTTCTCGGGGTCAACCATTCTTGCCTTAGCTAAATTCTTACACCGAATTAGTTTATTTACTTTGATTAGACATTAGTAACTAGTGTAATGTGTCTAGTCCTTTGCTTGGTGTAGACTAAATTATATGGCTCAGGTTTGTAGTGTCGCCACCATTCTAGATAGCGCGCCATCACGGTGCACTGTGAATTGCTGATATTAAATGGTTGGAGATAATTGGCAGGAAGCCTTCGACCTCGGTTTCACGCTAGTTGGCAATCACCTGCAAGGCGTATCTGCAACCTTGAAGGAATTCATGTCCCTTCTGAGATTCGAACCCGCGTCACCCCGTGCTGCAGTCGCAGACGTTACGTAATTAGTTTATTTAATAACTTAGATTTACAGATGCATGTCTAACTAACGGTCATTCTACTGTTGTGTATGTGTGAACCAGTAAACATACAATAAAAGGATAATTTCAAAAGTGGGAAATTTTTCTATTTGTAGCTAGCATGTAGGGAAGTAAGACTGCTTCGATGATTTCGGTAAACCCTTTGGTATATGCGTGAATGAATTTGGACTTGACCTTGTCCACTAATTTAACGAGAACGTTGTACATTTAGAAAAACATTCTCATAGACTTCAGCATTCTTATTCTATGAGTTTCTGCATTTGTTAGTGGACAGTTAATATGAAGTCGCTAGAAATATTTATTTAGCTTGTTTTGTACAATTAACGCATTTTTTACACTACGACAACATTTTTTAAATTTATCCGATATGCTTAATACGTTAGTGATATACTATCAACGACTTCATCTTCAATCTGTACATTCGTTTTTGTATTACAGAAACAGTAAATATAAATGTACCGTTTGAAAATGAAGTCGCTGAAAAGAAACATTTTGTTCGTCATTTGTGATTGTTTTAATGATGCATCCTCAAATATTAAACGTCCTGAATAGTGATCATCCTACTATATAGTTTACAGTGGAGTGTGAGAATGATGACAAGTTTCACTTTCTGGACCTCGGTATCCAACGTGATATAGATGGTAAAATCGTAAGGTACATATACAGAAAAGAGACCTGGTGGGTGATTTATCTGAATTTTAAAAGCTTCTTCCCTATAAGTTACAGGCAAGGACTGGTTAGAACACTGTCTGACCGTGTAAGGAAGCTTTTCTCAGAAGAAAAGACCGAGGAAGAGTTAAACATTGTGGAAAAATGCCTACATGATGATGGTTACCCACAGAAGTTCATTGATTAACATGGAAAATGAAGTGTCAACAAGGTGAAGTACAGCCCAGTTGAGAAGAAGCCCATCTTCCTACAATTCACCTTCCAAAATGACAATACTGCTAGTGGAAAAAGATGCAGACTGAACGTTACCCTAGAAAAAACATCCAACTGCCAAGCTTGTATGTGTTTATCAAACGAACTATTGTTTAAGACAGTCAAAAGCGGACAAACTCCCACCTCCAACTGAGTGTACCAGTTTACATGTATGTACCAAAGCACATATACTGGAAGAACAGAGAGAAGAGTTATTGTCCGCATCGCTGAACACATACCAAAGAACCTGAGATTAAAGGGTCCATTAGCATTAAACAGTGCAATCGCACGCCATCTACTAGACACTGGCCATGTTGTGGACATTCTGAAGGCGTTCAAAATAATTAACAGACAAACGAAGCCTAGCCTGCTTCGTTTTGCTGAAACAATCGCAATCAAACGGTGAAAACCAAACCTATGTGCACAGAAAAAGACAGTGGTGAATCTTGCACTGCCTTGGTGATAACAAAGCGCAGAAATATCACTACATCATCTCCTGTCCTATTTAGAAAATTGTATTGCTCGTCTAAACACGACTCACCCTTCCCCCCTCCTTTTTGGCTATTTTATTTAAACATATTTTCTGTGGTAACGTAACCTGTTATTTGTTACACCCTTTCTAGTTAAACTTTGTTTCCACCCGCAAATTTTTTTTTGAACTCTGTTCTTTTGTTTCCAAGCCTAGTCATCTAATTTTCCCATAAATAGTCAGTCCTTTTCGCCCCTAATTATTTAACAAATTACTTCCGTCTGAACGGATGCTACTCTCAGTTCCTACCATTTATTCCTTGTCAACGTGGACGAAGTATGTTCAAATCTTTAATGTAATTTATATCTTTGTACTGTTCAGGTTGTAGCCAGTTGAGAAGAATCATCGAAGCAATAAAAAAACGATCACATTTAATCCTGGTACACATCTGTCGTTGTTGCCTTATTCAAACAAATACCTCTTCCTGGACAGAACTGTGTTTTTCCTCATCAATAAATAAATATGTATATTTTGTGAATATACTGTCAGATGAAAATTTCACCTATTCCTTGGGAGGATAACAATACTTAGAAGATTTGCAGAGATCTGGAGTCTGCTATTCATCTTGTGGATAAAAAATACCAGTCATCGATATTCTATATCAATTAATCCTTGAACTTAGGAAGAGAGATTTTTGGTAATTTTGACGGACAAAAGGATCACATGATTGTTGTGAGTCTGGCGCCAATAGACGAATGAAAACAGACAGACTAAAAAAAACTAATCAACCAATTGATATCACTTTCTAACTTGCAAAGTTTATTTACATAAGGAACTCACGGTTTGTCAACAACGTCCCAGTTTTTCCTTAAGAACCTATAAATAGGAATAAATTTTCTTCCAATGCGAGACCATAGTTCAAGAGAATGATCCGGTTGATAGTACTGATTGAAATGTACACTACATGATTCTTTTTCTTGGCATATTTCATTTCTGGTGTCTTGATTCATCATGTTTGTTTGTACAGTAGAATTCCCATCGTTGAATAATTTTTCAGGTTGTGTAGCGAGAGCATTTACAGTCTGTTTATTCGAATAATTTCTACAATTGTCATTTTCATTGTGATTTAACGCGTTCACTGGGACCGATAAATAATATGATGCCAAACTCTTGAAAATATCATACTTTTCTGATCTCCCACTTTGATTACTCCACCAATCAAGGGGATTTTCGTTAATATCAGTAAATTTCTCATTTATGTACTCACTAATAAAGTGTTCAAATTCTTCTGTATAATTGATTTCTAAATTTATTCCCAGTTTTTGGTTGTAAGCATCAAGGGATTGTATCTGTCAATGAAACAATGCAAACAGTATTGCCTGACTATAGAAGTATGTATGAAATAAAATAAGATTAGTGATGAAAATGATAGAAATAACATGAATAATGTAGAATTCAAAGACTCTGTAGTACTTCCATATAAAGAAGGAGCACTAGAGGTCTTACATAGGATCCTCAAGGAGGCTGCAATTAGGGTGACATTTAAACCAACCAAATCTCTCAGAGATAAAATTTGTCGGCTTGAGGACCCGATAGATCCAACTAAGAAAAATAATGTAATTTACCAAATACTATGTAATGACTGTGGGGTCAGTTACATAGTTGAAACTAGTAGATCAGGGGCAATCAGATTGTTAGAACATAACAATTTAGCTAGACCTAGAATGATTGACGCTGTTAAGCTGAGTAACCTAGATGAAAGCATGACTGTTGCATTGCACTCATTTGCATGTAATCACACAAAAGGTGGGGCAGGGTGGAAGCGTTAAAAAGTAAGATAGTTAGGTGAAGAGAGAGGTTGATCACTGAATCTTTGTTTATCGATTTACCACCAGAAGCATACAATCAAAATGACGCAATACCTATACTAGAGATATGGAAAATTACTACAAACAACAAGGAGAATAGAGAAGGGGTATATATTATGAAGCCGTTTCACGTGATCCAGTTATTATTACTGTACCACTGTGTGTTATATCAAATAAATTTATCTAATATGGAATTACATCCTACTATAGTGCCCTAGTTCTACACTTACACTTATAATCCTGACAATTCATAATATATTAAGAATATACGCTTACCATTTTTAATGACATTCATATACTACCCTTTCGTAACTTCAAATAACGTCTAGTTACCTACACTAAGTCTGTGCTACTTATGACATTTAAATAAAAATGTGCTGAGTATTAAAACAGTATGGTAATTAATTCTTTATGTTGGTTGTCCACCGAGGAGTAACCAATAGAATTTACCCAGTACTTAGGAGTCACTGTGGTGTATGCCAAATAAATACAGATTGATAAGAGGCCACAAATTAAAATCAACATTTGAAGTCGACGGCTGAAGAGGCAGAAGCGTTTCTTCCTCAGATCTGGACTTGGTTTACATTATGGTCATGAAATAATCTCATTGGACACCCTTTCGTCCTTTTGTTTAACCTTGAGCCAGTCGCCAGCCAATCAGAACAGTTTAGTGTTCTCTGACCTAGTCGGTTTTTAATTTGGTTAAAATGGGTAAAATATGACGTCTTTTTCCTTACTAAAAAAAAGTTTGTTACGACTTCTACTATCTTCTGGTATTGCAGTCGTCAGTTTAGGAGACTCACCAGAAAGACGCATGGTTTGAATTAATGTCAGATCATTAAGGGCAACTGGTAGGAAATCATGCATCCAAGTTTCAGGATTACTGTCACCCGTCATGATAGCGGATGCGCCTCACTAACGACTTCCATTAAACTCGAAGCCTGGGTGCATTTGGCTGTTTATAAATGTGAATTAATTACCGAACTTGATATCATTTAACAAAAGGTTGTTTCACAAATACTTGTGGCGGAAAATTACTGTACCTATGACACGAATAGTTACCTATGTCCTTTAACGAGTTTATATAAGCTAACAGTATAACGACAACGGGAAAAAACTTTTGAACACAAAAAAATAGAATAAATATTTCATTTACAAATAATTTTGAGAATTCTATTGAGAAGCGGAAAACTGAAATTATTGGTTCATGTCCCAAAATTCAAGAATCCTTGCTGATACTTTGAAGTCTATCTTATGGAAAACTTATAGTTACTTCACAGTGTAAGAAAAGAATCAAGAAATAGGCTTCTCTTTGCAGGTAAACTGACTGTAATTTGGGTAAATGAATGGGCGCATTTTTTAGGATGAGATCCTTCTGATAGTATTAAAAGGCTGTTGGAATTGACCACCAAAATAAGTCATTTAACTGAAAGTATAGTAGATATCTGTAAATTTAATGTTGCGGTGGAATAATCCTTTTTCATAATAGGAATACGACTGTTTTTTATACCTGTTGAACAATCTCAACTCACTAAAATACTTCAACTAAATGAGGGATAGCTCAGTAAAACTGACGTTAGTTTTTGGTAACATCTGATACTAGGAGATGTGGTCACAAAAACCAGAGCAACAAATAACAAGTCTAAAGAAACGAAACATGAAAGTCATCCGAGCACAGTGGAATTCTATCCAAGAAAAACACATCCACTGATATTTGATCAGATATATTTCTGTGTGCAGCAAAGAAAAGTGAATTAATTTTATTTGAAGGATTAACATTCTTCAGAAAGCGAATTCTAGGAATCCTGAAAGACTTCATTTGTGAAATGGTCAAACAAATCAAATTCACTATAGAAATGAGTATTTGCTCAACAGATTATATTGCACTACCATTCACTGAAAACCCGAAAAAAGATTCTGTTTCAAGATAATTACTGATCCAGCTACAATAATATTTTCAAAATATAGTCAAAATAACTTCAAGTGTTGGTTTGTAGGGATTTGATTGATTGGTTACAGGATGTCATCATGAGCTGACATTGGTTAGAGAACCACTGGAAAACCTGGAAGTACTGAACAGCTGTTTCGTCCTAGTTTGGGACTCTTCGTCAGTACGCACCCACCGGGATCCGAACCCAGAACTTTCTGGTTACAAGGCGAGCTCGCAGACCAATAAGTGAGAAGTCGTGGCCAGTAGGGTGCACCAGGCTGGGTGTGAGGACAAATACTCGCCAAAGACATTGGCTAGTGGTTGCGCCATGTCGTGAATTGGTAGAAGTTAGAATTCATGGACTGGCCATTGGATCGAGTCCCAGTGGCTTAATGGTATACGAGCTCACCTTGTAATCAGAAGGTCCTGGGTTCGAATCCCGGTGGGTGCGTACTGGTGAAGAGTCCCAAACTAATGAGAAACAACTGTCCAGTACTCCCAGGTTTTCCAATGGTTCTCTAACCAATGTCAGCTCATAATGAAATCCTGTAACCACAGTCAAAATAACTTCCAGTGTTAATAGAGTAAAAGCGATCGTAGTATAACGTAAATTTCGAAACACTACCTGACTAAGAAAAAACATCTGTGTTCATCATGGTTAATACTGGATGACGTAATGCTTTTTCATAGAAAGAGTCGAATCTTACAATGTTTCACACTCCCTTTTAGATCCGACTGGTATATTTAATGACCCAAGAGTTTAACTTGTAAATTCTACAAAATTTGTTTAATATTTAGTCATTTTGTAGTCAGAGGTGATTAAATAAGAAGTAAATTTCTAATACTTCTTAGGCGAAATGTAGAAGATTCTCGCCTGTGGTCAATAAATCGTCTGATAATTTACAAAGCCACTCAAAATTTTAATTCCTATTTTCCTGAATGTTAAATAAAAAATTGTGGATTGTCTGCATAATCTGCATGAGACTGTTTTTATTTTCATTGTATTATCATTATTATGTGAAGTCGTGATCTTGTTGTGAGTTGTTGCCTTGATAGCGTTGGTAAACAAATTTCGTTAACTCTTTCTTTCTCTCTGTCTCTTTCTGTGTTACTTAGTGATTAATAATTTTGTATGATCAGAGAGGCTTCCTATTAATTTATCTAATTAAAATATTTCTTCGTCGTGACCCTTCAGTTTTCATCTTAAAAATATGCGTTTACTACCACAACAACAACAACTACTACTACTACTATTACCACATTTTTCTATGTGCAGGGAAATGTAATTGTCACTAAACACCCAGATCTTAGCTCCACAAAATTAATCTTATAATTAATTAAGCAATATGGCGTGAAAAACGAAAATGACAATAAAAAGCTTACTTTTGTTTTCAAGGTATTTACGGCTGTTTCACATTCAGCCTTAGTTAATGAACGCTTAAAACGTGGATCAAGAAATGCTGAGATGATAAGAAATTCATTCAACAGATTATTTCCATTATAGGTTGTTTTCAAGTAGTTAATCATAGTTGCATAAAATTGATCCGATAGATCTTCACCTATCCCTTCTGTATGCATTGAATATAAATTTCCTAGCATTGGTCGAATCATTGATGCGGTGAAGGATAGTAATTTCCGTCCACAAATTCTTTCTGTTTTTTGTACAACCTACAGGAGACAGATTAAATTATGTGTAATAGTGGTTCTGTAATTATGAAAATAAAAAGAATCATAAAGTTTTATTAGTACCTTCAGAAGTATTCATAATAGAAAAGTATTCCTAGCTAAGATGTAAATGGTGTTCAACAAATGACAGGAGAACAATCCATATGAAATACTGTGATGATATAGTCTTTATAATAGTTTGTGTTACATACTAAATGAATATTCTCTTCAGTTAATTCTCTACAGGTTCTTATAATTATAAAATGTAATTTTACTCGATTTTAGATTTTCCCGTCGAGTGATTGGGCCGAATTGCTCTGTCTCAGTTTGACATGTCGGCTTCTTGTGCAGGTGCTTCAACAATGTCTGGGCATGTAACTAGACGTTAATTGGTGGATGGTGACTAGCAGTGTAATCCAGGATAATGCGCATTTCGTCTTATTTGGAACTCGTCAGATGAATTTGCCTGAGTTCCCCACCGAGTGATGATGTCCCCACCGAGACTTGAACCTAGTGCCCTTACTTTCAAACGCCAAAGTGCTATCAACTAGACCACTTGGGCCATGAGAGCCACCGCCTGTGTAACGGGTCATATTAATTATTTTATTCACTTTTAGATTTTCCCATCGATTGATTGGACCGCAGGTTGACATGTTGGCTTCTCGTGGCCCAAGTGGTCTAGTGGATAACGCTTTGGCGCTTGAAACTGTAGGCACTGGGTTTGAGCCTCGGTGGGGAAATCACCACTCACTGAGGAATGCAGGTACATCCAGATGACGAGTCCCAAATAGGACGAAATGCACGTTATCCTGGATTCCACTGTTAGTCACCATCTATCTACAAAATGTTATGTTCATCTTTACAATAATAGCTAGTTTTGCGGTGGATGCATTTTTATGCCAAATAACAGATTAGTTATAGTAAGGTAACAAAAGAAGTCGTATGTAAGTTTGATCGCGGGCTGACATCAGCTAGAGAACTATAGGAAAATCAGCGTATTGGACAGTCGTCTCGTTCTACTTTGAAACTCTCCAACAGCAAGTACCCATCAGGGTTTTAACCTCCGGTTTTCCAGTCGTTCCCTAACTGATGTCAGCTCATGGCCAAAGTTAAAACAAATAAAATGCCCACAAACTAACTCTTGGAAATAATTCTGATGCTTGCTAATGGTTCCCTACATTATGAAGTTACCTCGAGCTCTGGTGAGAAGTCGTGACCAGTGGAGCCCACTGTATCGTCCGTGATAACAAATACTCACCAAAGGTATTGACTGATAGTCGCGATAAAATCAACAATTGGTAGAAGTTGGAATTCATGGGCCACCCGCTTCACTTGTGACCAGTCTTAACTTCGAACCCCGCTGGGTATGTACTGTGTGAGGAGTCCTAGGCTGAGGCTTGGAACAAATTAAATCCCTATGAACTAACTTTTGAAAATCGTATTTATGTGACAAACATAGTCGGCTGAATGTAATTTAAAAATATACCAAACATTGACGTTGATTATTCATAATAGATTCACACGATGTGGGAAAGGAAAACTGAAAACAATTCCCTACATTCAGACTCACTTTAAATTCATAGTGTGCTAATATTTCACACTGTTAAAACTCTTTCTATATGGTACATAGCATACAGTATAATGTGACGTATATATATATATATAATGGGCACGTCCTTATGGCAGTTTACCTCTCATAAAGAGGAAGGGGAAGAGTTATATGGTGAAATATAGGGTTTCGAATTTTTGACCAAAATACCATCTATAAATAGTTTTTGTCTAAGTACACATTTCGGTGGGAACTTTCCTTTCCTCTTCCCCTCAAAGTTTAGGTAACATTAAATGGACGGCAGTAATAGCAGTAATACAACGTAAGGAATGTAGTAAAAAAAATGCTACTCATTGGTAAACTTCCCGTGTATGAAGTTAAAAGTTTTTGCTAAACTTTATCTTAATCAAATAATACCTAAAGTTACATTTATGAAATATATAAGTATACATATGCATATATCTATTTACATATTTATATTAAATAGTACACCACTTATAGCTAAACATCTGGACAAAATTAACTGACCAACATTTATTTAATTGTTTAACCTTTCAGTACTACATCTGCATTTCATGTTTCATCCTTCACTAGCTAAAAGTGACATTATTGTCATCATGTGAGTTCCGGGAGGGTGGGGGGCGGGTGGGAGGGGGACAAATTGTTCAGTCACACTAAAAGTGAACATTTGCTTGTTTAAAATTGTGATTCTATTTTTAAAACTGAAATCTCACTTAATATATATATATATATATATATATGTATTCAAACTTAATTTACCCTAATTTTTTAATTAATGAAGTATGGTTGTTATCCTTTTTAAAGCATACAATACAACCTATCAATATTATTGTTTTCTGGACATTTCAGTACAATGTGAACACAGTTGTTCAAGATGATATTACATCTATTCAGTTTATACTTTCTATCATTTCTGTATATATATACATTTCATGAATGCTCCAACCCTCCTTGAGTCAAGTTTAAAGGTGATAACACTGTTGGCTGGCTTCCAGTTCGTATAATTAAAATTTGGAGAAATTGAATGTTCAGACTAGTAAGCAAAGTGTTGCTGAAAATGGCATTATTTTCTCTCTTACCCTATCATAACAAATCTGTCAGTTTGAACAAAATATTCTCAGAGTCTGAGTTTCATAAATGTAAAAAAGGCAAAACTACACATAGACGAATGCAACTAGTTATTTGCGGACCATATAGTTCGAGGTGGAATTTCACCACAGTTTCCTTTGAAAAGCCAAAATACTTTAACCACAATACGCGATCTGTATGATAATAGAAAGGCGCATGAAGATAGCAAGCATGACTTTTGTATTGGGTGCATACTACTAAATGATATGATTATTGGAAAAGTACTCAGACTAACCAGTATTACACGTTAGTAAAACTGACGTAATGCTGACGCCGAAAGGCTATTCAACTTATTTGTTGGAAAACTAATCTATAGTATAGCCGGACTCACTTCTTTTTGATGGGGCAAATTCAATTCATGATTAAATCCTCCATACAATCAAACCAAATCCCTACAAAACCAACACTTGAAAATTCAATTCACACTACTTTCATTCTTCCAGTTAGTCAGAGAAACAAGTAGCATGTGGAAGGTAAGGTAGTGATTATTCATAAGATACAGTTCCAGATAGTTTGGGAATATCATGGTTCCGAGTTGAATTTATGTAAAAATTTCTTTTGCAGACTCAGCTCCGATCAAGTGAAGCTGTCACCCATCTCTTATTTCCTCTTTTTCTGACTAACAATTATTAACGTTTGAAGTGAACAGTTTCCGACTACTTATATGAATGAGTAGATCATATCCATCTAGCGAATTATTAACAGTCTATGAGATATCGTTAATGCTTAGTCAGACAGTTCTTTTAACCAGTGCTTAAAAGTGATAACTATGTCTTTAAACTAAAATGCCAGAGTTTGCTAAGTTTCAATCAACAACTATAAGTTGATCAGTTAAATCTTACTTCATCTTCTTCATGTGTGAGTTAATCTGGTTAAGGAAAAGAAACGAACACTTTAGAGAAAAATCACTAGGTAGATGTAAGTTTCTTAGTAAGGAATATAAAAAGATAGATTATATTTATTCTAAAATTCTAACAGGTATATAAACGTACATATCGATTAATGAAGATTATTTTTTAGAGTTCAGCCATATTGTGAATATTAAATAAAGGAGTATTTGAGAGCCATCTAAACGTCAGTATAGATAACTGATGGGGGTTCACTCACTAGTCATTAATACCCAAACTTTTCGATTCACATAACAGATTTACTTTGACCTACCTCAATTAATTCCACGATCCTATTCCCTAGCTTTAGATCCAATTCGTTACAATCAGGTATTAAATGAAGGCTTGATTGTGTCCATTTAATCAGATTCAAGACTTTCGGTAGACATGTTGTTAGACTTGTTTCATCTGTCTGCTGTTTCATATCACTGGTTTGTGAAGCCGATTTATTTACCATTTCCATGTTTTTGTCTAACTTCTGACGTAAATTGTGATGATTTCTTAGAAAACTCCTTATCGGTGGTAAACATACTGCGCACTAAAAGGCAAATAACGGCAATCAGTAGACGCATGATGGTTAAACAAACTTAATATATGTGGAAAGAATTTTGCCTCAAACTATAATCCTCATAATCTTACCTACAGACTCTAAACTACTAATCACAATAAATGTTTGTACATCTTGTTAAATGTAAATTAGTAATGAATGTCACATGGATTAAACGAAAGATGAAAATAGCTACCAATTAACTATGTTTCAAATCGTAAATACATCTTTAAAAAACAGTGAAACACCAATTACTATTTGCCAAACTTATTCACGAGTTAATATTCTCTTAACATGCCAGTATGTATTCATTTGTGCGTCGGTAACACAGGGGTTAGGACTCTCACCTACCATGCACATGGTTCGGGGTTCGACCCCCTACCGACTCACACCTGATATCTATGGTCGGCTTGCAAAAATTGAGCTACCGATATCACATGCTGAAAATTCCATACTTGTACCAGAAAATACGGTGTGGAATCAAGCTGTAATAAAAAAATCGAAAATCAAATAAATATAACAGAATTATCTTAGATTATTCAATATATATATATATGAATAGCTTGTTACCTACTTGGGCAGCATTATTCATATGAGCATCAACACATGGTAAGATAATGTGTTTTGAAATTAGAAAAGATTCTTTAAGATTTGATAGTACATATTCGGAACAGTTTGTTACTATAATGAAAGGCCATTCTGATAAAATGTGAGTATACTGTGAATCAAAGCTTGAACAAAGCAAGTTCCAACAGGGTTCCAGAATTTTACTTATCGTCTGATTTTCAGTTATCTAAATTCAAGGGAAAAAGAGAGGATAACGGTAATAAGAACATACATCATAAATCCTTGTCTTAAGCGAAAAACACATTAGTACCAGGATGATGACAAAATCACCGTCTGAGATTAGAAAAATATGAATGGAAAACTGGAAGACAAGAAAACCAATATTTGTGATTTCGAGGGATTTTATGGCCTTTTCAATTTAATAAACAACCAGCCCTCAACCCTCAGATTAAAAGTCTAGTGTTCTACCGATTGAGATAACCGAGCCTTATCTTTTCGTAAATAAATCTAATTATGATAGTAATTTTATTTCAAATACCTGCCAACATCTAATGGCATATTAAATGTTAAATTTGGTTTGTTTTGATGTCTTACCGATATCTGTTGACGTCATTAGATATGCTGCTGAGGTATACATATATATATAAACCTAGTCCCTAGTATACAGAATAAATTCTTGTACTTATGTGCATTTACAGTACGAGACTTTGACCACATTAATCATGGAATAACATTCTAAGACAAACAGAACATTCAAATTATTTTTCAAACCAATATAATATATGAAGATACAGATTCTACTTGTTGAGGGAGAATTTAATTGAATTGAACTATACATAGCTTTTAAATGGTAGTAGTAAAAGCATCTTATCTATTTTTACAGGATTTTGGGAAACTTTGTCACAAATATAAGTTATCCAGACAACAAGTGGGAACCGATAATCATGAATGGTTGTTCTGTTTCAGTTTGGAATTCTTGAGACATTTGTACGCTTGATAAGACGTGAAAATGAGCCAGCAGCCATTAGATTAGGGTGTTTGTCAATATATTACCATCGGTTGGCATTACTCCTCTTTCTTCAATTTGCTAATTTATATTATTATTGTATCCTTTAGTTCCTAGAGGAACATAGGGCTTCAGCTGCGCACCTCCATTGACTTCGGTTTTCTGATAATATGCGGTCATTATTATCTTTACCATTTGTGAGTAACTGTCATCAAACCTAACTTAACCGATTCTATTAGTTGTAGTTTCTAATGGGAATTTTAGGCGATGTAAACATCTGAGTCCATCGGCAAAATTCAATGAATCACGTATGATGAAGTATAAAGGGATCGTTTCATTCCATTCCAGTCTGTTGTTGAAGTGAATATGACATTTGTAGTAGCGAATTTTGTATGCCATAATTACAGGTATCCCGTCATATCTTCAAATCTAGCCTGCTTAAGAATTTCATCCCGAATACAATTATTTCACCTATTATACGTAATGAAGAAAAATAAATTTTTGTTTATACCCGGCTAATAATTTTCCGAAATATTTTTCTATAGTTTGGTTTGTAAGGGTTAGTTTTATTTCTACGAGTTGATCACGGATTGATATCAGTTAGAGAACCATTGAAAACCAGGGAGTACTGGACAGTTGTTTCATCCTAGTTTGGGAGTCATTGGCAGTACGCACCCACTGGGGTTCGAACCCAGTGTTTGGAAACCTGTTCAGTAAAAGATTTTCCTCCTGTTTCTAATTCAATTTTAAGTTTCCCGTCAACTGACTGGACCGAAATTTTAGGTCTCTGTTGATATGTCGGCTCATTGTACAGACATTTCGACGATATCTAAAGATTAACTTGGAATCACCATCGCACGACAGGTGGCTGTCGTAGCCCAAGTGGTCTAGTAGACAGTGCCTTGATGTTTGGATCTACAGATACTGGTTTCCAGTCCTATCACTGTAGAATGCAGGGACATCTAAATCGGACGAAATGCCCATCCTGGATTTCATTAATTCACCGTTTAATGGTTAGCTTCAACACAGACAGATACGATTTCAAATAATTATCATTATTTGTTAGCATAAAATGTTTGTAAAGATTAAACTTACTTCAAAAGTACCATAGAATATATTATCTCTCTTATAAGTATGTTTAATATTTGCGCAGAAATGTAATTCGATATCAACATATTCAAAGGATAATTCACTCAAATTATTCGGTTGGCTTAAAGACCAAAACTTCAAAAAAATATTGATATTTGGAATGTTAATTAACCCTTTTGAATATTGCAATCTAATCATATTTTTTATCTTATTGTCAATTTGTAATCTTGTTGTTAGATAAAGATGAGTTAAAATTTTATTTTCCATTAAATGTGAAGACGGTAGAAAATTGAACTCCAAATTATAATTGATATTTTCATTCGCCTTCCGAAATTTATCCCACAGTATTGAAATTAAAATCTAAGGTATGAAGAGGAAGAAAAAAGGATGAAGATATTTCAGTTCTATAGAACTACTGCTAAACATTTTGTTTCATTCTATTCCAACTGAAAAAGTCGGCCGCTTACACTTACTCGGTTACAAACATCAAAGTATTAATTGAATCTTCGTCTTATGGATTTAAGCCCCATATGCATTCAGAAAGGCGAAAACACCTACACCGATCCTATGTATCCAATTCTCTTAACAAAGTTAAACAGGACTTTGTAAATATTATGTCATGTCTTAGAGGCTTGTTAAGCAGTTTCAAGGACATCAAGTTAAAATTTATTTTTAAATTATGAGACCAAGTGCAGGTGTTCTTACTTCCTTCAATCTAGAACCGAATGATGAAGTACCAAATTTAATTGTGACGAGAAAGACAATGTTTTAATATTAAACACTGTTGTAAGACCTCAAAATCTTCACAGTTTATAATAAAGGATGGAGCATGAAGGTGGAAACTGTATAGTTTACTAATTAGACTGGACAAGCTTACATGCACAACTTATTTTACAGATTATGCCGCCAAATTGTACAGACTGACTGAGATTTTATCATTAACACAAAGTGATATGAGTGATTTCCGAATATTAATTTTTATAACTTTTATATGTATATTAAATCCGCCTTGACTAGATTTTTCACATGCTTTGTATTTTCACTGGGGTGAATGACACAGTGAAAAGACAGTAAGTGGAATTTCAGGAAATCGAAAATGGCGTGTACTTTTCAAGTGATATATATATATATATGAAGTAATCGACTTCTTTTATTAAAGATATATCATTTGACCTTAAAATTCAGAAGAAGAAGTGTCTCGTTTAAGCAAGAGAAGAAATCGAAAACGAAATGTAATCCATGTTTAATCTCTTCTACGCAATTTTTAAGCAGATACATTGGAAGCTAGAGGAATATTATTTCTTTCGCTCAATAATAAATAACAACAACAGCAGTTAGAACATATTAGGTCACATTATTAATTCATGAAACATTTACTGACCGATTATTATTATTATTTATTTCTAATAGACAACTTTAATCTTGTTCTTTTAAATCATAGGAATATCTCTTTGATCGTTAATATTAAATATTATTTGAATAGAAAAGATTAAGGTAATAATTTTGTCCAAAATAAAATAAAATTAGTAATGTACAAGTTCACATCATGCTTTCCATTTGGAAACCAAAAATATATTCAGATCACACACTAAGCTTTGGTTGATAGCATAAACAGTGATATAGTTTAATGGCATTGGTATGATTAGTGCTTCCTAGAGAAACTGAAGTGATCTAAGCGCCATGACCAACTCTCAACTAATCATATCAATCAGTACCAAATACTGTCGTGTCTAAGAATACATCAGGATATTATATTTAGCTTTGAAGTTCAACATATGGCCTCAAGTGGCTTAAAGTTTCCGTAGCAGTGGTGATTATTTTTACAGGATGAGGTTACTGGCCTTATGCCCAACCTTCCCTCTTTACCAATCTTACCACTAGCTTAGCGAGGTAAAGGAGTGCGTCGGTGGCCGGGGATGGAACTCCGGCCCATGTGCATGGTCGGCGAGTGTCCTAACCACTGTGCCACCGACGCCCCACCGAAGTTCAACATAATCCATGTGAAAATGAATACTTCTATAAATTAAAATTTGTCTGCAAAAGTCAGACAACTTAGTAGACGACTGGCTAGTCGGTTCCACATAAAAATGCCTCCTAGATATCCATTTTGGTTGATACTAAAGCATATCGAGATGGGATTTTAATAGGAAACTACAAATTCCTACTGAAATATTTATTTATCTTGAATTTTCAAAAGAAAAGATGGGTGATTTTGGAATTTTCCGGGATTTTTACGAATTTAAGAGAAGTGATAAAGTAAAATATTATCAGAAAATTTTGTTTCATTCATTGGTTTTAAAAACAGTTCTTCACAGTTTAGACATAAACCCATTTTAACTGGCAAAATGTAGAATTATTAATTTGAAGAAAAAGCAGATATTAGTATCAGAAAACCGGAAGCAGTAGAGTTGACTGAACAGAACCAGATGTTATTTGATTGATTCAAGCTATTATGATTTTTTAAAATTTCTTTAAGTTCCCAGTGGAACATAGGGCCTCAGGCAAGAGGCTTGAAGTTTCGGCAGAAGCTGTATTTATTTTTACAGGATGGGTCTGCTGGCCTCATGTCCAACCTTACCTTCTTACCAGTCTTATTACTGGCCTGGCGAGGTTTCGGAGTGCGTCCTTCGGGGATCGAACCATGGACCTCATGCACTAACGACATACTATTATGAATTATGGATAAAATATTTTTTGAGTGAAATTCGGAAAGAAAGCTTTAATATTAACATACTAACTAACTTAGTAAAAAAAAACCTGAAATCCTGTAGCTGACAGTTGATAGAGAGGTAAAAAAAACTTTACGAAAACAGGTCATTACAAAAAAACGATTCCAAGTAATTAAAACAATTCCGAAAATTGACACTTTTCGAGGATTTAGTTAACTTTAATTTCAACATGATTAAATGTTAGACTATTTTAACTGTTTGTGCGTTGAGACTTCGACAAAAAAACAGTATTACCTAACTAAATATTGTGTATACAGTCATGCAGAACAGATATGATGAAATTCACACAAACACGGGGAAAAAGGTCACAGGCTTGTGCAAAATAAAAATCACATGTTAGAAATTATTGAAGAGGCGAAAATACTTTGAACAGTAACTATTTGTGAGAAACAGATTTCAGTATTTTAGTAATATTAAAGATCAGGATAGGTATTTGATTTTCATATAGCATGAATATCTTTCACATTGATGATTTGAGCAACATGGTGACAATAAATTATTTCTATAACGGCTTTTTATCACACTGAAGTAGTATTTTATTCTGTGTGGCCTTCCACAATATTCATTTGTCTAATAGACAGTTATGTAAATACGGGGATTATTATTTGCCATCACCTTTATGTCAGTATATATATATATTTTTATTATAGGATTTGCTGTATCATTCTTTCGTCATATAGGGATTATTTCTAGTTTGATCACGGATTGATGTCAGTTAGAAAGGAATTAGAAATAAGGGGTTGCCAGAAAGTTGTTTCGTCCCAGTCTAAGACTCTTCATCTGCAAGCACCCTTTGGCTTCACCCAGGTTTTCAGTGACTCTCGAAATGATATCAATCTGTGACCAAACTTGAAATACACCAAATCCCTACAAACTAACACCTAGAAATTAATGGTTATTATCAAGAGTGCTTTAGAATCATATTGAATGTCGGCAACACTAATGCATGAAATAACTTAAAGTCTAACGCGTTTGAAGGTGAATTACCCTCAAAAATACAAACAACATTTCGTTATGGACTCAGTCAACAGAAAATCATCCCATAGATGCTTTTGATCATACCAGAAGTCTCTATAACTGTGACTATAGTATGAAATAATCCTGCCTAGTTTACTCCCTAGCTACTTTTCAAGCCGGCACTAATTTCAGGAAAAAGGAAAAGGTGGTGTGGGCTATCGATCCTACCCCACAAAACTAATCGAATTGCTGCAAAACTTCAGAGTACAATTCAAATACAAAAACGAACTTATTTTTCGTTGGAACTGGAGAGATGAAATGACACGGGCTGGTGAAAGACTTCAAGAAGCCAATCAGACGATGTATTGTCTTTAGATGAAAATAAAAATGAGGATGGGGAGATTGAATGTCCGTACAATGTATGGAGCTGGGAAGTTTGCCCAGGTAGCCAAAGAAGTAAGAAAATACGGTGTGGAAGTGCTAGGAACATAGAAGAGCAGATGGAATAGATGTGGACTATCAGAACTGTAAGCTAAAGAGTCAGTAATCTACTCCCATTGAACTACTAAAGAAGGGCGAGAACTGGTGCGGAATCATGCTTTTGTTCACGCCAGGTGAAATACTGAATGACAGCATCCTGGAGGGATCAGAAGATGTTCCGGATGCAGAACTCCAACCACAACAAACTGGATTCAGGTCAGAAAAGGTAAATCATGTGCTGATCAAATCGCTACTCTACGCATTACAATCGTACACAGAAAAGAATGGCAATCAAATCTCTACCTCAGCTTCATCCACTTTGAAAGGGTCTTCAGCAGTATTGACCACGAAGTAATTTGGAAACTATTTCAACACCATGAAGAGTGGAGCCACAAATCTTTATCAACCTCACTCATCTGCTACGTGACAGTGTCACATGTCAAGTAGTGCACAACAGAAAACTCAGCGAAGTTCTCAGGTGACAAGGCTTCCTGTTATCACCAATGATATCTCTGATTGTGGTGGAGTGTATTGTGCGGAAGACTGTGGGGAGGGAGAAGACAGGCATACGATTAACCGATAAGAAGACTTGAGAAGATCTGGATTTTGCGCGTGGATGATTTAAGTCTTATGTCACCTAAATTTGAAGATCCACAGGTGAAAGCCACAAGCTGTCAGAAGAAGCAGCAAAGACAGGACTTCGAGTGAACAAAGAGAAGACGGAAGTGATGAAGATAACCAGCCAGCCAGCCAGCCAGCCAGCCAACCAACGAACGACAACAACAAGCACCAATCACAATCACTTACCTAGGAGACCGTTTGAACTATAGGTAGTTGAAACAGACGAAGATGTCAAAGCCATCGAGAATGAGAAGGACAAGACAGGCATTCTTCACTCTGAAATCAGCATAAAGAACAAGATTTGCATTTTCGATACATATGTGAAGTCAGTCAATTCTCCTATATGGGTCAGAAACTTGCAGTGCATGTCACCAAAAGCATTTCCAACGCACTAACACAGACTTTTATCAACAGCTGAATTCCCTGGCTCCATACTGAAGATCAAATGGCCGACCGACCGGCTGGACAGAAAGAATTAGCAACAAGAAACTATGGGAATGAATGAACCAAGAACCTATTGGTCAACAAAAATATATATATGAAGGAAAAATTAGATGGATTAAGCACACAGTG